TGATACTGCACATGTGGGTCAATATATAGAACTGATAATAACATACACATATATGATTTACAACAGCAAGAAGAAGGTCCCTTAAATAGGACTGAAAACGGATGAAGGAGTTCTGCGGAAAGAGAAACTGAGATGTTTTTGTGGTCAAATCGAGGATATGGGTTAAAAAAAGAGATATCTTGTACAGGAGGAGGAATCCAGATAAAATTGTTACAAAACAAAATAAAACTAAAACAACAGCAACAAGGAATGACAATTTGCAATGAATTAGTTTAGATGGAATAAAATAAAGAAAGATAAAATTTTAGCAGCAATAGATGCTGGTTTGAAAAGTGTGGATTTTATCGTGTAAGCCTTAGAGAGCTAGTCAGAGAGTGTGTGTATGTGTGTGTGTGTGTGTGTACAATTGTTTTCAATTAGAAACATAACACAATGTAAGCTTCATGTTTGTTTGTTTTGCAGATTTTTCTGCAATGCTGTGTAGATTAGAATATGTAGAACCTGAACGTAAAATGACAAGACCAAAGCCAAGGTGAGGAAGTACTGAAGCGCCCGGCAGTATTTCAAGGTTACTGTTCCTGGTAATACCTATGAGATGCCCTGTCCACAGGCTTATTCTGGTTCCGAACAACTGGGTATCTCTGGAATTCCAGCTGAAATGCAGTATCCAGAGAAAGGTCTTTTCTGTGGCTTTTGCTAGGCACAGGCCCCTTCCCTTTACCTGGTTTCTCTTTCTTTCACTTTCCTGCTTATATCCTTCATGTCCCATCACTGTATAGAAGTCTCTTATTTATGTCTCTGACTTCTAATTGATAGTCTGACTTTATTTACTGACATTTGAAGTTGGTAAAGACGGAGAACTTTGCTGCTGCGTCTCCTGCTATAATCCCCAGGTCTGGAGTACGTGCCTACCTCTTATTTTGTTTTGCTTTGTTCTTTTTTTAATTTTTTAAAATAATCTTATGAAGAAAGGAATAAGGGTGAAATATCATGTGATAAGAGGATCTGAAAACTATAACTGTATGTTACACATCGAGGCAGATAGTTGTCAACTAAATAATTGATTTTTTAAATAAAAGTCTACAAAATCATTAAAATTAGTAAGTAAACATTAAGAAAATGCCTAATGTTCAGAACCTATCCCACAAATTCTAATTAAGTGGTTATGAATACAGCAAATATATTCTAGTGTGTTTATTTTGAGGCTCCTGACATTCATATGGCTATAACACTCTCACACAGACATACTTTATAATATTCTAAAAACAAACTTAGTAAAATGAAGGGGGAAATATCATAATAGGTTTAATATGCTCAGAGATACAAATGCCACTAAAACACACGATACTAACATTTCTCTTTCCATAAAAGTCTGTAACATTCTGGTATCTAATATGTAATGAGGACAAAAGAACCTCAATACTGTAAACATTTTTAACCATGAAGAAGACTACAAGGAAATTCTAAAGTTCAACTAAAGTTCAACTAATGAGAATACATGAGTACACATGAATACTTCCAATGAGTACTCTGTGGTGAGCACAATCATCTGAAAGATAGGATTCTTTTGTATGATTAACCGCTCTGGGGATACTGTAAATTAAGAAAATCATTTACAAAATAGATTAATCATCTTAGGCTCTAAAGTTTAAGACATTCAATATATTGCCAAATTAA